AGAAGTTATTAATTAATGCCCGGCGGAGTGCCAGACGAACAAACGATTCCCGCAAAACTGATTACTCCCTCCGAGTATATACACGCTATTTTTTAAACTCGATTTATTTATCCATTTCGAATGAATATTTTAAACATCCGAATAGAACAGACGGGATTATTATTCGCCCATTCAATTAAAACTTCCAGAAACGCCGGAGCGCCGCGGACTTCGCCGAGAGGAAAGCCAAAAAGCTCATTCAAAGCGACATATTTAATATCAATTATGAATCGCTCGCAGCGGATTTATCCCTGCAACTTTCGCGAGACAAACGCCCGAAATGACCGCCGTAAAGTTGCAGAATCGCGATTTTTCAGTGTCGAATCCCACCCGACTGCGCCAATTACGCCGTCCTCTAATGCTTGTAATCGTGTTAGAGCGTAGGTATAACCCAGCAATGCGATTACCGCTATGTACCACATCGCCTTGTATTACTGTATATTAATCACAGATAATATCCCGGGCCCCGTCTGATTGATTCAGTAGTAATTAACCTATATAATTATCAATCAGTTCGGCGACCGCATTCAATTAGCGCGGCGATTAGGCGAAAGGGATTTCGCGTATACAGGGTGAATTTCGGAATTTTACCGGGGATAGCGAGAGAAAAAAACCCTCTGTCCAATTAATTCGAATAGTTCGGTGCCGGACGGGATGGCATTCCATCGGTAATCAATGGGAGCCGTTGATCTGTTCACGGTCGAGCATGGTCTGCTGGGCAACTAGAAGCTCTAATCAAAGCGTTTAATGAAATAAGAGATTTGTTTGTAATAAAGTTTGCATGGATAGTTCGGAAGCCCTGCCGGCGGATACATCATTTTGTACCCCGACGGGGCGTTATTGGTTTTTTTCCGCCACGTTCGATCCGGCTCGCTAAAAAAGAGGTAAAAGCTCCACGATCGGGCGTATTGAAAATAGAATGAAAAAACACAGACGCAAACTCGATTACTAAATTTAAATCCGACGCGCTGAAAACAATATAATTCGTCAAACATGGTATATTTTTTTATTCTAACAATTTAATTTATAAATTCCTATTTGCACAATAGCGGCGCGATTATCGATTTTAGTTGTTATTACAAATTGCATTATCCCACAAAACAATACCTTTTATATTAATTATTATTTGCTTACAGTATTTATCAATTAATCATCGAAACTGATGACCTGTGTTCGTTGTATGGAACCGGAGGTTTTATTTGCTTTTGGAAAATTCAATTTTACACGCGAATTTACTCCGGATAGAACCGCACCAGATACATTTGTTTATGATTTGGAAATTGACGAGAACGCTACGAGATTTATCGGATTTTGGGGTTTGACAACGCGTCGCTGCACGTTGCAGGTAATTTTATTTTCATCAACCGGTTGCTACGCCGGAACGCTTTAAATGATTTAGGTCTTCGCTTGTATGTACAATATAAATATCATAAATCTTTTCGTTACATCGAAATACACTGATTTAAATTCGAATTATCATCACCGACGTTTATTTTACAATAAAACCGGAATTGTTCGTTCGATAAGTGTAGGTAATTTTAAGCGAATTATAAATTAAGAGTGGGTTGTGTGTTTTTTTGGTATTAGGTAAATAGAAATAGATTGCCTGTTTTGGGCTATGTAATATCGGGGGAATTTTCACGGGATTCGACCATGCGGTGAACAATCGCTTTGGCGAAATATACGTTAATTCCTTTTTGATTGACATTTACAGTTTCAAAGCATATCTAATGAATCTGGGAACACACACAATCGCTTAACATAATGAAAAACCGCTACAAATGGCAAGTAGGCAAATAATTACTGATGTATAAACAAAGTCATTTGAGCATAATCGCCGCTGCGAGCCGGAAACCGCATTTTTTTCGAAAACGAAACGACTTTTACGCATGATGTGCGAAAAAACGAACAAAACCCCGGAATTTTATTTGCTTCCGATGTGGCCCGTTTCGATATTCCATCAATGCAGTCATTCAACTGTTGGATAAAAAATCGAAAACAGCTCGGATCGGATTCGAAGACGGTATAAATGAAATTAGATATGAGGCACTAGGTCGAAAAAAAAATATAATACCCACCTATATGCGGGCGGTATAACCATAATAATGAGAACACTCCGGAGATTACCGTTTGCTTTTACGAGCGAACGGCGAATTTTTTTCCGGATTGATTTTATTGCAAGCTATCGTAAAAATACAATTTCGAATAATTTTATTTTCAATAGTAAAAATAAAGCGCGTTTCACGAGGTTATTTTTCCGCAGTAACGACGACTTTACGATGATATAAGTGCCTTACTAAACTATAGGTACTTATCAAAAAATAATAAAAAAAAATACACCGAATTATAAATAGATAATTATTATTTTTCGTCACTCGTCGAGATTAATAATTCTCGACTTCCCCGACGCGTCCTTGTTATTGAAATTTTTCACGGGCCGTTTTTTTTTGCCTTTAATTAATGAGAAAAATCTAGAAACCCAAATATTTTTAGCCAATGCGATAATTGTCTTATTTTCGTAAGTGCCAAAAACCCGAAACTCTAAAAATACGCGTTTAAATTAAACCGTACGCTAGTAATTGACTTCCAAGGCCTCTTGCCCATTTATAAATGTTAGCGTTTATTAAATGTCACTTTCGGAAAACTCGAAAATTCCGCGTCAATTATAAGATCCCCGCTTTCCAACCAGATGAATTTATATACAGGACGATTTAAAAACCGGCCATTGCGCTACATTAATAATAAATCACCCGAAGAATTAATTTTTTCGCCTCGGAGAAGGCATTAACGTTTCCCGATTTTCCATCGACTAAACGCCGCGGAATCCGCCGAGAAAAAAAAACCCCGCCGTACATCCTCTTAGCCGAAAAAAATCCTCGCATTGTTGAACGGATAATTGGGCTGGCATCCTTTCTTATGCCATTAAGTAGTTCCTTAATGACTCCGGCCGGCCCATTCGGTCGATGCCATATTCTCCTCGGACACATCAGCTCCATAAACAAACAGATATATCAAAGTATACAACGCATCTTCGCCCAGGAAGGGTTACTCCCTTCCGTTTAATTGTGATTTTCGCTTACCCGGAACCAATTGCATATCTGCTCGATTGCAAGCAGCCGAAATGGTTTTTTATGCACCTCCGTTTGCAAGCGGAGAAGATTAATCGCCGTCTCCGCTTTACATGCATTTGGAAATTGACTCGGTGTAGCGGTGATGGATTGGAGTGGCTGTAGATGGCTAGTTTCGGATTTTCGCCAACTATTTTATGCGTGCAGGAAGCGCTATAATTACGTGAAAATTTGACGGGCTTGTTGACGTTCGTTTTTAAAATAAAACGCATTCTGGACGTTCGTAATTTAGGTTTATCGTCGAGAAGCGGTAAATTAAATAGGACGTAAGAATGGCCGAATAAATTACTCGAGGAACTTTTGTTGCAATTTTTCGAATAATAAATTTTATTGTGCACAACTTTCGGGACGTTTAAAATGTAGTTAATTACGCTGTTATGATGCATTCCTGGCTGTGATGCGAATTGCATTTTTAACGCCGCTATAATCCTTTATTTATTTAATAACAAGTTTTTTTTTGATTAATTGTCATCCCGCTTATTTTTTTCCTTCGAACGGAGCAAAGGAGCTTGCGAAGTAAACGAACGAAAGGAAACTAAAAGTGACGTTATACGCAAACAAATAATAAAGTCGGCCTCCTTCCGATCGGAGATTTAGAATGGATTTTCCATATTGGAGATTATTTTGTACGAGAAAACCAATAACCAATATAAGGCAGAAAATAAACTTTTTGTAAAAACTCTACCTCAGGGAATATAACAGAAGAAAAAAATTCTATATTGACAATCTCCCGAATGGTGATAACATAAAGAGCTTTTGATATTCTCTCTAACTCAAAGATTATTTGAAAGAACGTCTGTCAAATGCCGGGCATTCTGTAATATTCCTATATTTATTTTTTTGATGGTAAAATAGCCAATCGAAAGGATTTGTTAATACATCTTGATGTTAATTATTTAATTGTATTAATTTAATGATCCTACTGTTTACAATACAAAACAACAATTTAAACTAATTAACGAATTTTTACATAAATTATCATAACTTTATTAATATCAATGAGTAGGTAAATTTTGATTTTGACCATGCAGGAAATTCGCTATATTAAAGATGATTTAGTAATAGTAAAATCATCGCTTATCTACCTAAATAAATCAAGGAAAGTTTTTCGGGAAACTAGAAGTAGGTAGTCACTATTTGGAAGTCATTCAAAACCGAAACCTTGAACCTGCACAAAAAATATCCTTGACAAACTACGAATGTTACACTAGGTGTCAAGATGAACGTTGAATAATTGAGGGATTACAGAAATAGAGCGAATTTTTGTTCTAAATATTACACCATTTCAAACTTCGTAATATAAGCGCTCTGTAGAATCGCGGTTTTGTTGAAAACAGTTTGTTTTTCCCGGCTTGTTTTCTTTACATCTTGTCAATTAATTGCTCGTTTAATTTCCGTTTGTTTGCTTTAGTAATTGATAAAAAATAAAATTTCGATACCCGCGTGCTTTATAAAAACGTTATCCGCAAATTTGCAGTAAATAGCCCGCAGGAGGGAAGATCGGTAAACACATTTACATATGCGAATTATCGCAAACAAATCTACCCAAGAGTTTTTTGGAAATTCTCGTAAAAAAACGGAACGTGTGCATCAAAAACATAATAATATAAACCGACAAAAAACCGACATAACTACAAATTTCGTCTTTAATTAAATATTTAATAGCTTCCTCACGTGTAATTATAATTTCAGTTTACGAGCTATAAGCATCATTTTGATTTTGAACATTTTTTTTCGATTCCACATTGAGAACATAAAAAACCGATTTAAAATTTTAATTACCACCGAATTATATAAAAATGAGCGAAATCCTTACACAATCATTAGTTATTACCCGCTGTTGTAACAACCACTACTAAGATGTTCAAGTGTTTGCTAGTACTTTGTGCTCTTGGTTTAGCTCTAGCTAAGGTAAGTTTATTTATTTAATAGAATTTTCTCTCGAATAATTTCCAAACATCTTATTTATTGCCACACCAATATCCCGTCCCGCGGCTAGACGATTATTTTCGCAAAGTGCATCTTGCATTCGATTAGTCATCGTGATTAATTAATTTTTAGCCGCAAAATTCGGCCGAGGAAATCATCGCCAAAATGGCGGAGGCGTACCAAAATTGCAAACAAGGCACCGAATTGACCGAAGAAACTTTCAAAAAAATCCTGAAAGAAAACGGCGAGATCGACGAGAAATTCAAAAATTTCAACGTCTGTTTGTACAACACTTTTAATATGTTCGACGCCGCGGGGAAATTGGACAAGGCGCGATTCGAGAGTGTGATCAATATGGTGTATCCAGAAAAAATAGGTGCTATTATGCAGGAGTGTATTCAAGAAGGTCCTGATACCAAGGAAGTGGCTTTAATGATTTCACGGTGTATTGGAAAACACGTTTTGTAATTTCGTTATTATTAATTTATTAACACATTTTTTAATTGGTGGATTAAAGTTTTATGTGCCGTAAGATCCGGCGTGAATTACAAATTTTAGTTAACCTTTTTAATACCAGTTTAGTTTCCTGCGGATGTTTTCGGGACGAAAAAACCTAATTCATAAATATTCATTGTAAATTGTTGATTCCTTCGAATAAAATCTCCAATTCTCGCGCATATTCCGATTTACCTAGAATAGGTTTTCGCCGCGGTATTCCCAATTGCGCCGCAAGTGAAGTTCTAAAATCCGCTTTTTATTTGCTGAAATATTTACATATATCGCTCCTTCCAGTACCCAAGTCGCTCTTTCATTTGCATTTTCGGCTCTTTATACGCGCTCTACGCCCCGCGTGCATTTTTCACGGCGCGGAAAATCCCATTTCCCCACTACGGGATCGATCGAAGAAAAAGCGTAATAACACGACATGTTAATTACATTCTCGATATCCACTTTTCAGATGCTCACCGATTTGTTATGGCGCATAAAACCCGCAAACCGTCCGAGCCGGAGCGATAGAATTCAATTAAGAGAAAAACAAAAACAACACTAGTGGAACACCTGGGCATGGGATAAATTCCCGATCGCATAATCGCTGCCTTCTAAAAATAGAAAACGATTTTCATAGACCGGTTAATGGCGGAAAATTAATCGATTTTAAACGCCCATTTTCGATTAATCTCGTAAATAGATTCATACTAAATAAGAGATTTTGAGAGTAGTACATGCGTGAAACATAAAAATATTTTTTTCAATTTATTAACTGTTCTATAAAGCCACTAGTGTTGCTCACATATCGGTGATCATCGACGCGGAGATTCGTCCAATATGAACTTGATAACTGATAACAGAGCCGATAATGAAGCTTTATGCATTATGGATGATACAGCTGCGATTCAGCTTTGGGCTATTACATAACGGCCGGTCGTCGGGAAATGCGATTCGATTGGCAATTAAAAAAAAAATACGCTGTATACGAAAAAAAAACTGCATATATCCTATTTACGCTTTCGACGGGCCATTATCGCAATGACACTGGGAAAAAAGATACGAATCTTCGCCATCCTTAATGATTTTTTAATTTCGTCGTGTTCCACATCGGTACTACTTAAACCGTAAGTACCCGTACTTAATATAGCTCGTTTCCTCGTGGATATATACAGGGTGAATCGTCGCTATAATGTTAGGTACAATAAAAATGACTCGAGCAAATAGTATGAAAAGTAATGTCAATCTTTTCCGCCAGCTTTACGACGAAACGTCGTCGAGCGCACTCGACATTTCCAAGTGTTATTAATATATAAAAATGAAAAAGTACCACATGACGTATAACGTGTTATATGTCAACGCTTTAGAAGGACAAGTTGTTACAATCAAGCGCCCGTAATTTAATATTCCTCGCCATAATAGGGACATCAACCTGAATGGAGTTATTGCGTCATCCATCAAAGAAAGCGGGCGACGTCGGAAGGCAAAAAAAAGGGCGGAGAATTTCTACAAAATGATCTCCGCGCGGCTGCCTGAATAATACATGCACTACGAAATTTATTTCGATGTGTTTCGAAGGAGATGCGCGACAATTACCGGGACTTCAATTGCTGTCGCACGCCTGTAAAGGTGAAACTCGATCACTGGAAGAATATAAGAACCTAATTGGTAACCTCTTGTAGAACCTCAAAAAAAGGTCGTTTAGTTTATTGAGGCGTCATATAAACAGCGAAGCAAAAACTTAATCTCTAGTCCATTAAACACAGCAACGCAAAAATTGTAAGAAAACAGTTCCAGCGGTCAATTCGAGGGAATTGCTGCTTTTTAATCAGAACCGGCTTGGCCCCAACATTCTACAGGTTACTTCTCCGGTGAATACTCTACTAATATGATAATAAGACCCTGTATTGTTTAAGCGACAAATACCTAATGACAGAAATGGTATATTTAAGAAATTTTCCAATTTAAAATCGTTTAGTTCGAAGTGAGCAATCATAAATCTGTCGAGTTGACGGGCGGCGGGATAAAGAGGTTTAGGCGAAGGTGCAGCAATTTTCCGCGCCGTAAAAGGGCAACGGGAAAGCGCAATTCGTCATGAATTTCATAAATACGAAGTCGTCGGGCGGCTGATTAAAAAATGAAATCTTATTCAAATAAGCCGTTGTTTTCGAGGTGATGATAAATAGGGGTCGGGTTCGAGATGGCCGTTTGTTAAGTTGCGAAAGACGTCTTATATTTTTGTTGCCGGCCATAATTCTTCGTCCGGGATGTTTTGGTTTCGCTGCCGGTGATGGGGGGCCCGCCGGAAAAAAGGGGAGAGAGGAAATTCGAAGATCGGCCGAACGGAAAAACAGCTCTTCTACCTCTTCGATACTCCGACTTCGCAATCTTTGCACTATCGCGCTCAACGAAATGGTTCTCGTATGTACTCTAATTTACGATTTTTCGGGAGATTTTTTTTTCCACGCGAACGATTACGACGACGCACACGAGCGTGAATTATTACAGACGTGGATGCATTCAAAGGGTCCGAGACTTCGGAAAATATCGCCGAATCCCCTCGATTATGGAAATTAAAAGTTTCGCCGGGCCAGCCTAAGGGCAATCCACGTTCCCTGGAAATGCGGTCTGGCTGAGGGAAATTAATTTCCCAGATATATACACACACAACAGAACACTTTAGGACGAAAATGTGGATTGTTGCAGGAGCGATGGGGAACTAAACTCCTGCTGTTTGGTTCATTTTTCTTCACTTACTTATCTAATTTTAATGGTAGTTTATTTATTTTTATACTACTCGTGTAAGTAGAGTTGCCTACCTTTTGATCTTGAAGGTATTTATGGTAGATGGTAGATATTAAATTATGTTAGAAGTTATGGTGCAAATGGTGGTATACGTTTCGACGTTTGTTTCTGATGTCAGTGCGAATGTGGGGACGAAATTCAGCCACGGAATACGGACAATAATGGGCGTTATTAAGTCTGACCTGCACGTAAAAACTCGGTAGTTCCCCGGTCTTTTTTTCATTACAAGATCATTATCTTTATATAAATACTAATGCAATCTTTCGCGCTGCCCAATGGCCCATTTATGAACGTTTGCCGACAAACAAAGGAACCTTCTTTACTTTTATGGATAAGCCAGAAATGGTCCTGTCGAGAGATAAACGCTCCACGTGCATCCAGAATATAAATAAACGTCAGGATACTGTTGAAGTTTCGCGACACACACAACATAAACAACAACAAAAAAAAGGGGGAAACAAAAAGGAAAAAGAATTTAATTCTCCGTGGAACTTTTTAATTTCTCGCTATAAATTTCGTTCCAATGTAACATGGCAATGGAAACAGTCACGAAATTCAGCAATGAAGCTAAAATAGATAAATAATAAAATAGGAGTATAGCGGTAACGATTCGTAATAAAATTAAAATGCTTTGTTAACGAAATTATTTGGGTCGGGAGTTAAAAATTAAGATGGCATAAATTCAGTCTGGTCAAACAAGTTGTAAATTTCCCCGTTTTTAACGCGGAATTCCTCTCGTACGTCGTGCATTAACAACTAGAAAAAATGCTAAAAGCCTTTGTCGAGAAAATCAACGATAAATTCCCGCCGATTTATTTTAATTGCGTTTTCCCGACACTTGTGCGAAAAAGTCTCCCCGCCTCCCGTTATCCTTATCATGTAGCTAGTTACAAATATTAATAACTATTACAGGAAATTTGCATATTTATTAAGTAAAATAACAAATGTAACAGCGTTAATATCGAAAAGGTGAAGTTTCAGTTTGTGCGTGTCGACTCAACCAGTGCCGTTTTTCTACAATTGTAGAATATTAAACTAAGTTTATGCTTTGAAACGGGATGATTTTGTATTTGTTTAGGATTCGCGCGATTCCTAATGCTACATCTCAAGTACCCCGAGATTATTAATATTAATATCAAGACGGAAATATTATTGTAAGTAAGATCAAATTTGATTATCTACGCCACTGTGCGTGTAACTTTCTCGATTATGGGTTAATACGTAACAAAATAAGGATATTGCACCTTACCTTCAACATTGCATGTGCACCTCACATTATTTTCCTTCCCGCATTCTGATATATAGTCACCTGTTCAACCTGAAAAATACTGAATAAAATATAAAACATTCCGCATTATCTTTCCCTAACACGAATTCCATTTTGAAAATTTTTTAATGTGTCATAACGTGAATTACGAGGCTTTAGCATCGACTCGGCCTCGCGTATAAGGAATTTCTAATGGATTTTTCGATCCGATTGATTCGAATATTAAATATTCCGGGATAGATAGGACGAAATAAAAAAAAAGTATCCATCCTCGTGTCCACTTCGCTAATTGTAAATGGATTTCTTCCATTAACCGACGACGCCCGGCGTGACGAAAAGGTCACTTTCACAATCCATTTTGTTAATTACCGATTACTAAAGTTAATTAAACGTTTATTCTCGCTATTAAATCTAATTTTGCGTACGCCAGGCGCGGGTCAGATAAGCGGGAACGTTTGCGAAAAATCCGGTGAGTCATTTTTCGTTCGAAAACCGAATGGAGTAGAATAATAATCTGGAGTTCCGGAATACATCCGAAATATCGGCACCCCTTTTTGCCGGACGCGTCCCCGGTCCATAATTCACGCTCGTGCGGATGGAAATCGGTCGGCCGTTAAGTTACGCCACCCCTGTACCCGATCAATCGAATGCTAACTACACGGGATTGATTTATATCCCCCGAATTGAATCCCGCTTGATTATGGACATTAAATAACGGGGGTGTGAATGGGGAAGTGTGCATACACTCGATGATCCTCTCCGCGTCGAAAAGAATCGATTGTATGGGAATATATGCAACTAATTGTAAATTGAAGAATGTCGGGTAATGATTGGAACCGTTTAAAGCGAATTAATCTACTTGCTCTACACATGTCGGGTGAAAGGAAATTCCAGGCCCTTATTTACATTTAATTACATCAGTATTTATGCAGAGTATACACAATCAAAGTTCGGAAAATGTTAGCATAGAGAGAGGACCTCAAACATCAAATATGGAGTAGTATTTGCCTTTAGT